ATGCAAGGGCCCATACTGCGGGAATCGTCAGGCAGTACTTAAATGACATTGGTATCCGGAAGTGTATAAACGAAGTCAAGTATAGGAGTGATATAATCATTCAGTAAAACAGTTAAGCTTAACAGCTTAACAGCTAAAGATCTAAATTGATTTATTTGATGAGCAAATCTAGTGTGCAATTCAGTGTTTATGGTGGTAATTTCGAATATTTTGATTGAAAAAAGGGAATTTACAGTTAATGTATTAAATACCACCCTAATTAAAATGCTGCAGACGGGGAGCCCTAACGCAGTAACGCATGTTTACGGACTGCGCGGCTGTAGGTAACTATGTCATGCGGCTGTCCTCTGTACCTGATGTACCTCTGTACATTGACGTCGTCCTTACCAACCGAGCTACGACTTACTTCTTGTTGAACTTGAAATCGTTTTCCTGTTCCTGCTGGCAGTAGTCCACGGCTTGCATTATCATCAGGTTGCGGGTCCCGGCTGGAACGCTACAAAGAACATTACACATCACATGATGACAATAACAAACGTGCTTTGTGTGTGTGTGTGTGTGTGTGTGTGCGTGTGTGTGCGTGTGTGTGTGTGACGTACCGCTGGATGGCCTCGTCGCTGAAGCAGGTGTCCTCCACGAACTGCATGAGCTCGTGCTTGGCGAGCTTGTTGAAGTAGCTCGCGCACTGCCGGTACTGCTGCATCCACTTCTTGCTCGCCGCGTTGCTCGGCACCTGCGGTAGGTACAGTTGGCAGTGGGCATGCCCGCTCGGCGCGCGGCGGCGGGGCCGGCCTACTCACGCTGAAGAAGTGCCTGGTGAGCCACTTGGCGTAGATGGCGGGCAGCGCCAGCGGCAGCGCCAGCGCGGGCGGCAGCGTGCGCAGCAGCTTGCTGAGCAGCGCCACGTTGTCGGGCCGCAGCACGCGCGCCACGTGCTCGCCCAGCGCCGCCTCGCCCGACACCAGCAGCTTGTAGTCCAGCTCTGCGGACAGCGCGCGCTACACCCCACTGCACGACTCGCAACGTACTATTCGACTACATTTCAGTGGCAAACTTATTTTTCCCCTCTGTCGCGACAAATGAACTATCCAGCACAAAAACATTACTTCAAATCGAAGCAGTTGTTCCTAAGATCACCGTTTTCAATAGTTTTACTACCATTTGGGGCGCGTGCCGCAACTTTCCTCTCGGTTACGGCTCCAAAATATAAACATTATAATAACAAACATAAAAATTCAATACTTAGATAAATCGCTCCATAATAATATTTTTTTCTTTTTTCCTGAATTTATTGCAATCTACCATCCTAGATGTTCAGCAAATGTTCAGCAATTAGTCACGTCTTGCACGGAGATGGTCTTACTACCAGTCCCCTACTCTGTCATATATTATGTCTTGTGGTCGTTTTTTATTTAGCCTTCTGGGTTTTGCCGGTGCTGTCAGTGGATTCATTAGGTTTACACTTTACAGCCTGTGAATTTGAGTGCGCAGTAATTCTCTTTGTAGGTCTGAGTCCTCTCTATAGTTTCCTCTTGAACGGTGTTTATGCCGAGGTCATGATGAAATACCAAGGTGCATTATTACTTTACTATTACTACATAGCATAAAATAAAGTCGCTATCCGCCGTCTGTTTGTCCCTATGTATGCTTAGATTTTGATGCGGTTTCTTTTAATACATAGAGTGATTATTAAGGAAGATTTATATGTTTAACACATGCATATTGTACCCGAGCGAAGCGGGGGGTCGCTAGTTAGCTATAATCATTAGTGTGTTAGATTGGAATCTTTGCAAGATTTCGACATTTGATTTTGTAGGGTTTGATTAATTGTCTTTACAAAAAATAAAATATCAAGATATACAGGGTGTCCCTGAACTCGACAATCAAATGGTACCAGGTGATCGGCAACATTCCAACAGTCATCAGAAGAATATACAAAAAGTCCAAGTCATATAGTTTTTAAATTTCAATGACTTATGTGTTCAATGACTTGGCGTATTCGGCCTGCGGCAGCAACCAGCAGGTTTTTGGCCAGCCCATGCAGTTGTTCTATAGTTCTATGTTTTAAAACATGGAACTATAGAACAATACTATAGAACTATAGAACTAGTTCGGTGGTGAGGCAAGTTTATGAGTGGCAGCAGTCTGCGCACTTACGCAGGAATAATATTTCCATGACTTTGGGAGAGATAGGTAGCAAGCTTATAGGCCTGTAGGGTTGATACCCGAGGTTCCAATCAAACGCGATCACGTCGAGTGCGCTTTTATCGGGTTTAGGAACCATAATTATTTGGGCCACGTTCCACTGCGGCGGAATGGAACAGGTTTTCAAGATTTTATTAAAAAGGATGGTTAAGAAAGGAAGACCTTCTACGGGTACCTGCCGTAACATTTTGGCAGTGACTAGGTCGTATCGTAACCAGGGGCCTTGCCAGTTTTTAACGCTTTTCTAGCTATTTTTATCTCCTCTCTAGTTATTTATCAAGGGGTGGTTCATGTTCATCAACAGCCTATAAATGCCCACTGCTGAGCAAAGCCTCTTCTCACACGGAGAAGGTTAGAGCGTTAATCACCACGCTTGCTCAATGCGGGTTGGCGATTTCAAACTTATAATTAGAAATTATAAGTCCAGGTTTCCTCACGATGTTTTTCCTTCACCGTTTGTCAGTGGTGTATAATCTTAGAAAGTACATAGAACTCGGAAAAAGTCCCATTGGTACTTGCCGTTGGTAGGTTTCGAACCCGCACCCTCATGCATGAGAAGTGGGCGTCTTAAACCTCCGGGCCACCTCGACATGTGGTTCAAGTTGGTTTAACAGAATACTTAATCTTACATTTTGATGGAACCTGTGTTGGGATTTGGCACGAATACGTCCGTCAGACGTGAGACAAATGCAGCTGCCTTTCCTCATCGCTTGCAGCCCACTCATTGGTCTCTTTACATATATTGGTTGATTGGAGACTGGACGTTTAATATGTTTTGTAACTTTTCACAATGGATAATCCGTAGCAGTTGATACATCAAGGTTTATTTTTATATTTTTTGTCTTTAGATATTTTTTGTCAGAAGCATACTGAGCTTGTTGCGATTTTTTTCTAGCTTGACGTTTATCATTGTGAAGTCAAGTCCTCGAATCGTTAAGGGACATTCAGTGTTTTAATTTCGAAGGCGTAGTGGGCCAAGCGGACTGTTGAACACAATGCATCAACGGCATCTACTATGATCTCTTCACATTTCATTGGAATTGATAAATTGAGATTTTGGGCTACTAGTAGTCTGAACAAGTTCTAGTCCGTTTTATAAGAGTGCAGCTTACGAGGCTCCACAAATAAATAAAAATATGTCGATCAATCGTGGAAAAGAGAGTTATCGTAAAAGAGCTCGCACTTGTCATCCATCAGCATAGTGCTGCGAGTCATTTGTACACTTTTGGGTCTTGCCGTAAATAAATAAACAAATAAAAATAACTTCCGTCGATCATTGTACCGTTCCAGATTAGTATGCTTTGATGAATTTTATTAAATAAATTGTAGATACAATAGTATTAATAAAGTTGTGTTGTTACAAGTACCTGGAGAAGCAGCTTTGGCTTTCTTCAGCAGTTTGATATGTTCCGCGGCAGTGAGAGGTCCGACGAGGGCCTTCTCGTCCACACTCTTCAGCAGCGAGAAGAACATGATCAGCGCGTTGTGCTCCGTGCCCGGTATGAGGGGCCAGAGAGCTTCCTTTATACTGGTTAGACGAGCAAATGTTATTAAGTCACTCGAGGGTATTTCATTCTAAGAATAAAGGGACTAGGTACCTATATCGATAATAATTTTTAGCTAAACAAAAGCTATAAAAAAAACTGTAAAGCTATAAAAGTAACTGAGTGAGTGAATGAATGAGTGAGTGATTAAATGAATGAATAAGTGTGTGTGTGTGTGTAAGAGAGACAGAGAGAGAGAGAGACAGAGAGAGAGAGAGAGAGAGAGAGACAGAGTTAGGTGGTGAGTGAATGAATGAAGGAATAAGTAAGTGGCTGAGTAAGTGAATAAGTCAGACAGTTTAATGGTGACATCAACCAACTGAAGGGTTTTTGTTTTCGACATGTAATGGTGATGAGATGTAGACATGGATACGGTATAACGTGATGGGGAGTTACCGAGCGTGTGCTTCTGGGATGCCGGCGAGCGGGGGCGGGGGCGCGGGCGGCGCGGGGGGCGCGCACTGCAGCGCCGCCGCCGCGTGCTGCAGCCACACGGCCAGCGCACACAGCCCGCGGCCGCGCGCCAGCCTGCACGCCAGCGACACGTGCGCCCACTCCGGGGACCTGCACACACACACACACACACACCTCACACGTCCAGCGCACACAGCCCGCGGCCGCGCGCCAGCCTGCACGCCAGCGACACGTGCGCCCACTCCGGGGACCTGCACACACACACACACACACACCTCACACGTCCAGCGCACACAGCCCGCGGCCGCGCGCCAGCCTGCACGCCAGCGACACGTGCGCCCACTCCGGGGACCTGCACACACACACACACACACACCTCACACGTCCAGCGCACACAGCCCGCGGCCGCGCGCCAGCCTGCACGCCAGCGACACGTGCGCCCACTCCGGGGACCTGCACACACACACACACACACACCTCACACGTCCAGCGCACACAGCCCGCGGCCGCGCGCCAGCCTGCACGCCAGCGACACGTGCGCCCACTCCGGGGACCTGCACACACACACACACACACACCTCACACGTCCAGCGCACACAGCCCGCGGCCGCGCGCCAGCCTGCACGCCAGCGACACGTGCGCCCACTCCGGGGACCTGCACACACACACACACACACACCTCACACGTCCAGCGCACACAGCCCGCGGCCGCGCGCCAGCCTGCACGCCAGCGACACGTGCGCCCACTCCGGGGACCTGCACACACACACACACACACACCTCACACGTCCAGCGCACACAGCCCGCGGCCGCGCGCCAGCCTGCACGCCAGCGACACGTGCGCCCACTCCGGGGACCTGCACA